TGCCCGGGTGAGCGCGCGCGGCCCGCGGGTTGGGACCTGCTCGGTGCTCCGGTGAGCGCGCGCGGCCCGCGGCGCGGGTTGCGACCTGCTCGGTGCCCGGGTGAGCGCGCGCGGCCCGCGGGTTGCGACCTGCTCGGCGCCCCAGTGAGGGAGCATGGCGCGCGGGGTTGGGCGGGGTGTCTGCAGACCCGTGGCGGAGAGGACGAACCCCGAGGCTGCTCCCTAGGGATCGGACGGGACGGCCAGGGGACTCAGCAAGACAGGATATAGGCAGTAAAAATTGCGCCCGGGGAACATTTGTTGAAGGGAAAAACCAGTTTCTAATGTTTGTTACTGCAAACTTACTAACGAAATTTTAGACGGGGCACTTAAGCAAAAGCCAGATACTCTTAAGGGATCCATAATTACTCTGCCGGTGAGAGACTAAGAGTATTTTGTGTATACACGCACACAAAATCATTTCCAAAATGGTTTAGCAGAATCAGGAAGAAAACTTGATGGTGTATATATCTGTAATATATGTAAATACATATATTTTGTCAGGCTTGGGTTTTATGCCACAGGTGGCCAAACTGCAGCCCCCGCACCAAATCCTGCCTGCCGCCCCTTTCTGTGACCCAAAAGTTTGTGTTTTTTTTTTAATCAAAAGAAAAATATTTCCTGGCATATAAATATGCGGTGAAATTTAAATGTCCACGTCCTTCAGTACAATTTTATGGGAACACAGCCTGTGCATTATCTCCTGCTGTGATAAGGGCAGAGGTGGATGTTGGCAGAGAAATTATGGCCCATAAAGCCTAAAATATTTTCTCTCTAGCCCTTTACGGAAACTTTGCCACCCCTGCTCTAAACATGCATGGCACTTTTTACAGACCTCTAAGCTAGATAGTGCTGACCATTTGTTTAAGGTTTTATTTTGGAGAATTTCTAACATATACAAATCACACAGACTGTATAATGAACCCCTGGACCCATGACCTTGCTTTGTCTACTCCATCCTCGTGTCACACTCTCCACTGGATTAATTTGAAGCAAATCCCAGAATGTATATACTTTCATCCATACAGATCTCAGTATATAGCTCTGGAAGATAAGAATTAGGTGCTTTATCTTAATTATTTATTATTAAGTGCACTACTAATGTGATATATACATATATTTATGTATATATCACATTAGTAGTATTATCACCTTAAAGTAATGAAAATCAGTTCTTTAATGTCACTGCTGTATGTTCAGTTGTCTCATAAATGCTGTTTTACAGTTGGTTGGTTTGAATCAGGATCCAGGTACAGCCCACAATTTGCAGTTGGCTGACAGGTGCTAACCATTTCGGAATTGTACTTTTCAGTAATTTTGCTTTTGAAGCAAGGGCTGTTGACGGTCCTGGAACTGGGCCCTGAGGGGATGGCAACAGTCCATACCCCACCTTGAGCAAGTAGTGGTACAGGTCACCATGGCTCAGGGCCCTGTTCTCCCTGTCTGTGCACTTGTGATTGGAGACCCTCAAGGACCTTTTTTACTTCCAGCAAATGCTACGGAACCTCTGGTCACTTTCTCAGACCCAAGGAGTCAGACAGGCAGTACTTCCTTTCTATTAGGGATAAAATCATCTTGGTGCTGGTTAATTAAATCAGAAATTGGTTTTCTTCCTGAGTCTGCTAAAATATTTTGGGAAAGCTTTTTTTTTTTAGTTTATTTAAGTAATCTCTATATCCCACATAGGGCTTCAACCCACAACCCCAAGATAAGAGTTGCATACTCTTCCCACTGAGCCACCCAGGCACCCCTGGAAAAACATCTTAATAGCAGTTTAGTTTTTGTAACTTGGATATCTGGAAATAAAGATACACCCAAATATCTTTTGAGGATCAGTGGAATAATATTTGTATATACTCTCGGTTTTGGAAGGGAGATGCATGATGTTAACAAATGAGCAGAGGCAGAATTAAAGGGAAGGCTTGGTGACTGACACCTCACTGAAAAAGAAATAAGATGCCTACCTCAAAGGGCAGAGGGTTTTTTTTTTTCAGTTTTATTGAGTTATAATTGACATACCACACAGTAAAAATTACAGCGTAATGACTTAACATACACATCTTGTGAAATGTTTACCACAATAAGTTGACATTCATCAGCTCATATCAGTACAAAAATAGGGCGTTTATTGAGCTCAGAGGAGTGCTAGATGCTGAAAAGAATAACGCATTCTACAGAAGAAAAGCATTTTTGTGAGCAGTGCTTGATGATGAGAAGAATATCTTTTTTAGTGTCTATAGTTCCGCTTTAATGGTATGTTGTATAATATAAATTTGGTATTGTATTACATAATGTATACTTGGTAATATATCACACACTATATAGAGTGTATTTTTTTTAAAGATTTTATTTGAGAGAAAGCACAAGCAAGGGGGAGGGGCAGAGGGAGTGGGAGGGGCAGAGCAAGAGGGAGAAGCAGAATCCCTGCTGAGCAGGGAACCCCATGAGGGGCTCTATCCTAGGACCCTGGGTTCATGACCTGAGCCAAAGGCAGACGCTCAACCAACTGAGTTACCCAGGCGCCCCGGTATTTGGCAATGCATTATACAGTATATATTTGGTAGTAGAGTATGCAGTGTGAGTTTGGTGGTGGTATTACAGTGTCTAGTAGTGTATCATGCATTGTGTATTTAATAGCATATTACACAGCGTATTAGCGTACGTGAGTACATAGTATATAACTTTGTACTGTTTACAGTTACCATTTAGTATCGTTTTACATAGCATATGCTTAGACAGAGCATATCACATTACCTAACAAGCAGCTTTCATATGTACCTTAAGGATGTATATTGTTTTGAGGAGAATTAGATATTTGGGTCTAGGAGCCAAGAAAACTTACAAGTAATAAATGTCAAGAGCAAATTGCCGAGAGCTAATTCAGGAAAATCTTAAGTGTATTTTTTTCAGAGAATGAAAGAGTTATCTTTTTACATTTCAGAATCATGCTTTTTCAATCATTTTTCTTCTGTGAGGAATAGTTAATATGGACATTAAAAAAATAGCCGAGAAATACCGATTTTTGATCACATAGTTGCTTCTTCATATCGAGGAAACAAAGAACGCATTAGGGATAGGATGTGGCTAATGATGGTTTAAGTTGAAATCAAAGTGCCTGGGCTTGCTTTGTGACCAAAATAATTCCTCCCTGGATCTCCTTTGTTTCTCTCTCTGCACACACCCATGTGTGTGTTTCTTTCCTCCCTCATTTCTTTCTCTGTTCCTTCCCGGGTATTTATCCTTCCTTCCATCTACTTACCATTCATAGAGAGCACGCAGTCAGCTTTAGGTGTGAGTTAGGACCATTACACAGCACTGTAGTTCACCCTCAGCCACGCAGGTTCCGTCCCCCCAGCGCTCTGCGGCCCGGAGACAGGTGCTCCTCCTTCCCAGGTGCCGGCCGAAGGTCGTGGCAGCCTCACGTTCCATCACGATGCCCGCGTCATCTCACCGCGCAGGCCCCTTACCCTCTCACACCATCACGAGAAGGGTGAGGACAGTACAGTCGCGCGTTTGGAGAGAGACCACATTCACACGGCTTCCATGACCGTCTCTTGTTACAATGGTTCTATTTTATTATTGGTTGTTATTCTATTACTGTGCCTCATTTATAAACGGAGCTCTGTCCCAGGAACGCACGTAAGGGAAAAAAAACATATATCGGATTCAGTACAGTCTGCAGCTCCAACATCCACTGGGGGTCTTGGAATGCATCCCCCACGGGATGACTGTATCCTCTAATTCTCTCTTAGGTATTGTGTTCCGGTCTGCCGTGTGGCTGGGATTCCCAAATTTCGTTGACAACCCCGCTGCCGTGAATGGGACAGACATTTGGCCTGCTGTGTACTGTGTGGGGAGTGCGGTAAGTACACCTGGCTTTTTTTCACCTTCTTCTAACCCCTGTGCTCCCCTTAGGCTGCGGTCCTCAAAGCGTGGTCTCAACCCACTGGGGTTTGTTAGAAATGCAAATTCTCAGAGCCTGCTGATCAAGAACCTTGGGGTGGGGTCCGTCTGCGAAGTCACAAACACTCCAGGGGCTCCTGACTCCCACTGAGGTTTGAGAACCGCTGCTGTAGTGTGGTTCTTCCTGCCCCCACTTCTGAGCACACATAGACCATCCTTACTTGAGATTGAGCTGCAGTTAAAACCAGCTGGCCAAGGGCGCCTGGGTGACTCAGTCGGTTAAGCGACTGCCTTCGGCTCAGGTCACGATCCTGGAGTCCCGGGATCGAGTCCCGCATCGGGCTCCCTGCTCGGCGGGGAGTCTGCTTCTCCCTCTGACCCTCTTCTCTCTCGTGCTCTCTGTCTCTCATTCTCTCTTTCTCAAATAAATAAATAAAATCTTAAAAAAAAAAAAAAACAGCTGGCCAAAAAGAAAGAAGAAAGTGATTGGATGTATTCTGCTTGATGAAATCTGCGTTGAAATAGACGTATCTATATTTCTCTGTGCACCACGCTCGCTGTAGCACGTGTTCTCCACTTCTCTCCCTTCTGCACACACTGCTTCCCAGCCCACCCCGGGAGGCACACCGGTCTCACGCTGCCCATAACATACCGAGCCCCTTCCTGCCTCGCTTCTGGGAAGCACTTTCCTGCCCCGTACCGTACTCCCTCATTCTCAGCAAAGAGCTGCTCTTTCGCAGGCGCTGCGAGCCCTCACACCAGTGTAGGCCTCACATCTGAGGCCTTCATCTTCCATGCCTGCGAGAGTACCGGAAGGCAGGGCTGGCCAGTGCAGTAACCCCCCCCCCCCCCCCCCCCCGCCGAGCAGACGGAGCACCAAGGGACACCCCGCCCTGGGTCGCATCCCACCCTCGCGTTCCCATACCGTCTGCGCGTCTCCGAACGGCTTTCATGTCCTGCTTCCTGACGTCACAGGAAAGAGGCATCTGCCAGCTCATTTCACGGATGGGGCAGTCTGCTGCCTGTTTCCAGGAGCTTTGATGCCAGGCTCTTCCTGATTACAGATGTGGATCCAGCTGTTGTATAGTGCCTGCTTCTGGTGGCTGTTTTGCTACGCGGTTGACGCCTATCTGGTGATCCGAAGATCGGCAGGGCACAGGTATATTTGGAGGGAACAAGAAGAGCTTTCTGCTCAGGTTCTGTCATATGAGGAGGGGTCAGGGGTACTACTGAGGGTTCCAAAATGTTTTTCAGCGTGGCAGACACAGAATATCAGCCAGCCCCTCCTGAGAAACCTCTCTGGCAGCTCATTTTTATAAAAGGCTGAAGGCAGATTCAAAATGAGGATGTTTAGACCATGACAAGTCATCCATAAATTACATATTTGCATTTTGGACACATACTAAAAAAGAATTGGCGTGAACATAGACAATTTCTGACGATCTAAAGGTTTGAGGAAAGAAGTCTGAAGTGTGTATGGACATGTTACACCAAATACGGAACCTGAGCACTGGAGCTGCAGGGGGGCTGCCTTGGGAGAAATGACCCACGGGTGTGGCCCATGCATTTGTCACCAGCTGTGTAACTGTAGCAAGCTGCTTCACCTCTCTAGACTTGGCTATAAAATAGTACACCCTCCTCAGGTCCGGGAGAGTCCGTGCGATGCTGTGTGTAAATGGTTCAGAATCGTGCCGGACACATCGCAGGCTCTCAGGAGCGGTGCTCTGGGATTGCAGCTGGGATGTGCGTGTGTGTTGGGGGAACGGAAATGCAGAGAACCTAAGCGACCAAGGGAAGCCGCATGGCAGGGTGGGGTGAGTGCCCCGGTACCCTGACTCCTGGTCCAGGAAGCATGTGTCCCCCACTTTCCAATGGAGCCCTTGTTTGTTTGCCTTTTTTTCTTTTTTAAGTATTATAAACTTCACCCATTTAGGTGTATAAAATCCATTATTTTTTAGTATACTTACAAAATTGTGCAACCATCACACCAACTAGTTTGACATTAGTCATCACCCCCCCAAATCTCTTTACCAGTGATTAATTCCTCCCCCCAGCCCTCGCCCCCAGCCCCCAGCCCCTGGCAACTACCAATCTATTTTCTGTCTCTAGGTTTGCCTACTCTGGGCATTGGCTGTAAGTGGAATCATTCAGCACGTGACCTTTTGTGTCTGGCTTCTCAAACGCACAGTGACATGTTCAAGGTTTCCCCATGTTGCAGCAACACCCGTACTTCCTTCCTTTGCGCTTCTGAACAGTATTCCGTTGTAAGGATGTCCTACATTTTATTTAATTTTGAGAGAGCACGTGAGCAGTGGAGAGGGAGAGAGGGAGAGTCTCAGGCACACTCCACACTCAGCACAGAACCTGACGATGGGGCTTGATCTCAGGATGCTGACAGCACGACTGGAGCTGAAAGCAAGAGTCAGATGTTAACCAGCTGTGCCACCCAGGCGCCCCTGATGTACTACATTTTATAGATGTGTGTGTGTATTTATTTAAAAGTTTTATTCGACACAGAGAGAGATCATTTGAAAGAGAGCAGCGGAGGGAGAAGGAGAAGCAGACTCCCCGCCGAGCAGGGAGCCCAATGCGGGGCTCGATCCCAGGACCCTGGGATCATGACCTGAGCTGAAGGCAGACACTTAATGACTGAGCCACCCAGGTGCCCCATAAATATATTTTTTAAAGATTTTATTTTTTAATTTTTTAAAGTTTTATTTATTTGACAGAGAGAGAGACAGCGAGAGAGGGAACACAAGCAGAGGGCGTGGTAGAGGGAGAAGCAGGCTTCCCGCTGAGCAAGGAGCCTGATGCAGGGCTCGATCCCAGGACCCTGGGATCATGACCTGAGCCAAAGGCAGACGCTTAACGACTGAGCCACCCAGGTGCCTGTAAAGATTTTAAAGATTTACTTATTTGAGAGAGTGCACATGCAAGTAGGGGGAATAGCAGAGGGAGAGACTCTCAGGCAGATTCCCCACGGAGCTCAGAACTGGCCTTGGGGCTCCGTGTGGGGTGTGATCACAGGACCCATGAGCTCATGACCTGAGCTGAAACCAAGAGTCAGACGCTTGGGCGCCTGGGTGGCTCAGTTGGTTAAGCCACTGCCTTCGGCTCAGGTCATGATCCTGGAGTCCCGGGATCGAGTCCCACATCGGGCTCCCTGCTCAGCGGGCAGTCTGCTTCACCCCCCGCCCCCCTTCCCTCTCGTGCTATCTCTCATTCTCTCAAATAAATAAAATCTTAAAAAAAAAAAAAAAAAATCAGACGCTTAACCAGCTGAGCCACCCAGGCGCCCCTAAGGTGCCTTTTTCCAAAAGGTATTTGAGAAAGCTCACCAAAAAAAATTTGAAGAAGAATAATCTATGTGATTGGTTGCTAATAGCAAAGAAACTTATGAATCGAATTACTTCCAGATTAACCAGGATGAGGAAGTGGAGGAAGATGAGGCTTAAAACTCATTAATCTGGAATACTTTATATGAGTTGAAAAAAAACATGGGACCCAAGCCACAAAAAAAAAGAGTTTGAACACTTTAATTTAGGTCTGTGATCCATTTTAAGGATTTTCTTTTTTAACTAATCTCCACGCCCAGTGTGGGGCTTGAACTCACAACCCTGAGATCAAGAATCACATGCTCTACTGACTAAGCCAGTCAGGCACCCTGGTCTGTGATCCATTATATTTATTTATTTATTTGTTTGTTTTTTTAAAAGATTTTATTTATTTGACAAAGAGACACAGTGAGAGAGGGAACACAAGTGGGGGGGCGGGGAGAGGCAGGCTTCCCGCTGAGCAGGGAGCCTGATGCGGGGCTCGATCCCAGGACCCTGGGACCATGACCTGAGCTGAAGGCAGATGCTTAACGACTGAGCCACCCAGGCGCCCCTATGATCCATTATATTTTAAGATTTTATTCATTTTATTGGGGTTAGGAGCAGAGAGAGAGAGAATCTCAAACAGACTGTACTGAGCATGGAGCCTGACGTGGGGCTCGATCCCACGACCCTGAGATCATGACCTGAGCCCAGACCAAGAGTTGGATGCTTAACTGAGCCACCCAGGTGCCCCAGTGATCCATTTTAAATTAATTTTTGTGTGTAGGTGGGGAAAAGGTGGGTGTTTATTCTTTTGTATGTGGATGTCCAGTCATCCCAGCACCATTTGTTGAATAAATTCACTTTTTAAATTGTTTTTTTAAAGATTTTATTTTTTTTTCTCAAACGATTTTATATATTTGATAGAACAAGCAGGAGGACTGACAGAGGCAGAGGGAGAAGCAGGTTCCCTGCTCGACGTGGGGCTCAATCCCAGCACCGTGGGATCCTGACCTGAGCTGAAGTCAGACGCTTAACCGACTGAGCCACCCAGGTGCCCCCACAGATTTTATTTTTAAGTAATCTCTACACCCAGTGTGGGGCTTGAACTCACAACCCCGAGATCAAGAGTTGCATGCTCCACCCAGTGAACCAGCCGGGCGCTCCTGAATAAATTCACTTTTAAAGCCAACATCAGTAAACAAAGATCACATTCAGTCTGTAGAATATGCTGGGCAACCTTAGTAGATCCTTGCCCTAAAATCGTTGGTGGGGATGCCTGGGTGGCTCAGTTGGTTAAGCATCTGCCTTCGGCTCAGGTCATGATCCCGAGCTCCTGGGATCGAGCCCCACATTGGGCTCCCTAGTCAGCAGGGAGTGTGCTGCTCCCCCTGCTTGTGCTCTCTCGCTCTGTCAAGTAAATAAATAAAATCTTTAAAAAAATAAAATAAAATCGTTGGTATTCCTCATATTCCTGTGTCCTCATCGTTAACTTTGGTCTTTCTGCCCTGAAGTTTAGTGTTTATTTTTGTGCTTGTTCCTTCCACCTTTTTACTTTCACTCCTAAACTTTTACACATCTGTACAGAACCTATGTATTCTTGGTTTTGAAAATTCTCTAGGGACGGCAGTGAGGGTCAGAGGCAGCCAACCAGGTATATCCGTAAGGATTAGCTTTGACTATGTAAAATACATAAAGTAATAGTGACTTAAACAAGATGATTTTTCTTCCGTGCTAAAAGAGGCCAGAGGTAGGCAATCCAGGGCCCTTATGATGGATATCGGGGACCCAAGCTCCTCCTATATTCATGCTCCATCGTCCTGTTGTGTGACTTCCAACTTCAAGGTGTCATGGCCCAGTATAGCTGCTGGAGCTCTAGCCGTCACATCTGCATTCCAGGCAGCAGGAAGGAGGAAGGGGGCAATGGATAGGGTCTGTTTTCCCCTGAGCCACCTCCCTTTAAGCAGCCTCCCTGGGGATTTTACACAACAATTCCACTTTTGTATTATTGGCCAGAATTTAGTTTCGTGGCCACACTTAGCTGCAAAGAGGAGGTTGGAAGTATAGTCTCAGCCAGGCGGACTGCTATCTGGCATGACATCCAGGTTATGTTACTAAAGAAAAAGGGAAAATGGCGTTGGGCAGGCAACTGGCTGCAAGGAGAGATCCGTGACCCGGAAGCCCAGTGCGAGGGTGTGTTCCTGTCTGATGGCTTTCTCACTCGGTTTTGGAGGGACTGGAGTTCTGACGCACTAGAGGTCTCGCAGACAGCCAGCTGTGGAGATGTGAGGAGCCTTGCAGCACCGGAAGGAAGCTGGAAGCAGAGTTTGCCGCCTGCTGCCACAGGGGTGTGCACTGCCTCACCGCCACGCAGGGATGGCTGTGGTCAGAGGGGGCGGCCTGACAGCTTTCTGGATGTAGAAGACAGGCAGAGCCCTAGGAAGCCGGGGCAGGCAATCAGGAGGCCCTCCTCATGCCCAGAAGAGTGTTTGGAACTCATTTTGGAGCACAGAAGAAGGGTAGGCAGGATGCAGAGGCCGTGCAGAGATGGGAGGATGCTGGCACAGCAGAGCTTCCAAGGACCTGCCAGTCATGCAGGAGGCAAAGGTCCAAAGATGTGAACTATCCAGATGCCCTCCTAAGGACAAGAGCAAGGGCAGGGGTCCAGTGCTAGGAAGACCTTTGAGAGTGAAGTCGGCTCTCCCATCAAAAAGGAGTAGGGATGGGGCTCCTGGGTGGCTCAGTCAGTTAAGCCTCCGACTCTTGGTTTCAGCTCAGGTCCTGCTCTCAGGGTCATGGGATCAAGCCCTGCATTGGGCTCAGTGAGGAGTGTGATTTGGTTTCTCTCTCCCTTTCCCTCTCCTCCCCCCACACTGCTCGCTTGTACGTGTGCGCTCTCTCTCTCTCTCTCAAATAAATCTTAAACAAAAAGGAGTAGGGAGCACAGCAGAGAAATAAGACAGGTGGTTTGGAGCCACAGAGACCCAGCCCCTACCTCATCCCTGGCAGAAGCCATGCTTCCTGGTGTGAGGGCGGCTAGGGGCCAGCACAGCGTGGTTGGAGCCAGAGCTGAAGATGTGGGTCCAGAAGCACCTGTAGCTTCTCTGCTAAGAGCCAGCTTGCTCCCAGAGCTGAGGACGCAGGTGATTCTGCAGGTGACAGTTGAGAGACTGGAGCTGCGCCGGGATGGGTCCTGAGGAATTCCAAGCAGGGGGCAAGGCATTGCAGGAATGGCTGGATTAAATACCACGTTCCCTTCTAGATCCTTCCGGTCCTCAGCTATTTTCTTTGGCACCGGAGAATCTTTTGGAAAACCCTAATCCTAAGAAATGTCATTAAGACAGATTTAGAGTTAAAATTCAAACTGCTACGTCGGTTCCCGATGCGGGACGTGCAGGCTTTAAACAACAACAGGAGGTGCTTGAGACTGTGGGACAGCCCCTAAATTGAAGTCTGCCCGCTCTGTGAACATGAGTGTGAGAGAAAGGGGGTCTGGGGAGGGCCCTTGCGTGCCTGGACCTGGAAACTGCCCAGCGGTGAGACACAGGGACGAGGACCTGCAGTCCCCTGCTGCTGCTCGTGCACGCGTCGGGGCTCAGGCTCACCGCCCGTGTGGGCTTGGGGCCCTGTCAGCTCCTACAGTGGCTGCCGCCTGAGCAGCCTGGCCACTCTGACTCCCGCTGTGCTTGGTCATCTGGAGCCAGAGCACTGTTGACGGGACTGTGGCCATGGCCACGCCCACCCCTGGCCTCGCCCCCTGGCCTGCTGTCTCCCACCCCTCAGCACTCCTAGCTCCCTCCGGCCCAAGGGGAGGGTCTGCACTCTACAGTCACCCAAGCCCTTGCAGAAGGCTGCTCCTGTTTTCCTTTGTTCCATGCAGAGCCTCTGACTTCTGGGCAAGACCCACCCCAGCAGCCCCCAAACCCAGAGAGAGAGGGCAGGGCCGCTCCAGAACCGGGAGGAAACGCAGGCTGGAGTCGTTTCGTTTCCTTGTGTCCTTCCAGAGAGCTGGCTGTGAAATGTTTCTTCTTCCTGAAGCTCGTTCCCGTGTGCTGGCTCTCTCCTCCTGGCGCCTTCTAGAAGGGCATCCCTTCACTCGGATCCCTGACCATTCCCTTGTCTACACGGCTGATCTTCAGAGTTAAAAATCCCGATGGGTGGGGGGTTGCACTGTTTGCCAGGAGTCTGGTAGAGTCTTGGGTTGTGGCTAGTGCATCCGATGGAGCGCTGGGCCCCCTGTCCCGTGGCCCAGAGGAGGCAGATTAAAGGCTGCATTGGCACAGTCAGATAGCTGTGCATCCGTCCTCTAGACCCCAGCTGCAGGGCTGGCTGCCTCCAGTCTATAGGGAAAAGGGCGGGGTGTGTGGGCTTAGGGAGATGAAGGGTAGAGATGGTCCAGGAATGTGAAGCATGCAGCGAATGGCGGGCGTGGGGGAGGAAGGCGAGGAAGGGAAGCTCCCCACTATCCTAGAACACATCAAATGCGTGCATATTTCATCAGAGACCTTGGGTTGGACTGAGCACGGAGACCCTTGACTTTTAGGTGCCTCTGGGAAGGTTTGGGGATAGGAGCTCCTCACTTAGCAGGTAAGCCAGGTGCTGAGGAGGACGGAGGAGGTACCCGCTCCTTGTTCCTCTCACCCTTGCAAGCTTCACGTGCTGTGGAAGAAGCCAGACACAGAGGGCCACATACTGCATGACTCCATTTGCCAAAATTGTGCAGAATAGGAAAAGCCATAGAGACACAAAGGAAGCTGGTGGTTGCTGGGGGCTAGGAGCAAGAGGAACGGGGGGTGCATTTGGGTTTTCCTTCTGGGGTGATGACGATGTCCAAACTGGATAGAGGAGGTGACTGCACAGCATTGTGAGTTTAGTGAATGCTCCTGAGTTGCTCACTTGAAAATGGTTACTTTTATGTTACATGAATTTCATCTCAATTAAAACATAAAAACTCAGAGGCGTAATAAGGCAAATCTTGGCCGAGGCTTTGCTCACTGTACGTTTTCCTGACTGTTTTGGGCCCCGGGAGTGGGTCTGGGACCTTCTGTGGCTGGGCATCCCCATCCCTCCTCTCAGGCAAGGCCCCCCTGTGCTGCTTCTCTCCTAGCACCATCCTGCTCTACCGCCTCATGGCCTGGGGCCTGGCCGCCCTGCTCTGCGTGGAGGGCGTGGTCCTGCTCTACTACCCTTCCGTGTCCAGGTAAGCCGGGACTCCCAGCTCCCTGGCCCGTTGTGTGCTCTCGAAGAGAATGCCTGGGCACTGAGCCAGAGCGGGCCCCTTGCAGGTCAGGCCAGTGTTCACAGAGCCACCCAGCTGACCCCCAGGGGGGCTCACTACGATACTTTGTACTCTGGAGCTCGTGTCCCTCCCTCTGCCTCTCACATTTGTGCAGGTGGGTGCTTGTGTACGCAGAGCTTTCGGTGTGTCTCCCAGGTAAGGACGTGCACGCAGATCTCTGGAGAGAGATCTGAAATGGTCTCAGGTTCTTCTTCAACCTAAAATCTCATCATTGCAGGGGCACTTGGGTGGCTTTAGTTGGTTAAGCATCTGCCTTCGGCTCAGGTCCTGGGATCGAGTTCCCCATTGGGCTCCGTGCTCAGCGGGGAGTCTGCTTCTCCCTCTCTCTCTGCTGCTCCCCCTGCTGTTACATGTTCTCTCTCTCTCTCTCTCTCTCTGTCAAATAGATAAATAAAATCCTGAAAAAAACAAAAAAATCTCATCAGTGCAATCATTTGTAAGGCCTCGTGGTCCCTCCAAGTTATGTATATTCTAACTTAAAATGGAAAGCTGAAAAACAGGTTGGACATTGTCTCTTTGTGATTTTAGGGCAGTGTAGACAAGGATCAACACTGCACAGCCCTGAGGAGAAATCCGGCCCTCTGCTTGGTTTTGTAAATAAAGTTTTATTGGAACACAGTCATGCCCATTTGCTTATGCATGATTTATGGCTGCTTTCATACTGCAGTGTCAGTTTCGACAGGCTGTGTGGTCCACGGAGCATAAAATGCTTACTGTAAATGTTCCCTGACGGAAAAAGTTTGCTGACTCATGGTTAGACCATTTCTCCCCCACTCCTTTTTTGACTTCTTGCAGCTACTCAGTTAGACATCTCCAAATTGGTGTTTCCTAGTTGATGGTGAATACTCCCGAAGTTCTGGGTAGGTCCATCCATACAGCTGCTCTCCTGAGGAACTTTAAAAGGACAGATACAGTGACAGTGGCTGTTACAATGGAATGCACTTAATTGGAAAGGGAGTTGTCATCACTCAGCTTACCTGCGGGCTCCTGGAGCCTCCTGGGAAGGTTGCATGTGAGCAGGAGGGAGCCATTGCTGCAGGGCTCACAAGGAGCTCTGAGGCGCCTCCATGGTCCTTCGGAGGCCGCTCCTGGGCCTGAGTCAGGCTCCCATCCTCACCCGCTCATTCATTGCTCACTTTTTGTCTTTCTGTCAGAATCATGGTTCTTCCTCCACTTATTTCTCCCCTCGAGCCTTTCCAGACCACATTTGAGCCTTCACAGCTGCAAATGAAAACTTCTTTTAAAGGAAGGTAGCATTGTAAGGTGATACTGTGTTCCTCCTGATGGCGAGAAAATGGGGCACTGCGTTTTTCCTTCCTGACTTTTTTTTTTTTTTTTGCATTTTCTATCATTTTCCCCTTCTGATTTGACCACTCCGTGCATATTAAAACAAGAGTGCTTGCATTTTTTTCATTCCACCTTCTGTGGCCACAGGGGCTGTTCCTTTATCTGCTTTCCTACCTCCTACTTGGCTTGAGCAGTCCTCTCTCCCCTTTGCCTTCGATTCTCTCTTCCTCTTTGCCCTTCTTTCTGTTACATTATGCATTTCGTAGCTGATAGTTCTTACCTTGGTAAACCCACACCTGTGTGGCACTCCACTGCATCACACGGTGACTCACGATTTCCACGATCCTTCCAATAGAAATTCCCGTCCTTGGGGACACCTGGGTGGCTCAGGTTGGTCAAGCCCTCCCCCCTGTTTGTGATCTCTCTCTCTCTCGTACTCTAATAAATAATAATAAAAAAAAGATTTTATTTATTTATTCATGGGGGGTGTGGGGTAGAGTCAGAAGCAGGCTCCTCACCATGCAGGGAGCCCAACACAGGCCTCGATCCCAGGACCCTGAGATCATGACCTGAGCTGAAGGCAGACGCTTAATTGAGCCATCCAGGAACCCCCTATTCAATGACTCTTGCAACATCATTATTATAAAATATAAAAGAGAATACTCAAAAGCATGAAAAACTTTAAATCTGTTATCAAAAACATACTCTTCCCCCCCAACAATTCATATAAACCCACATTTTCTTTTGTTGTTGTTGTTGTTGTTAAAGATTCTATTTACTTATTTGACAGAGAGACACAGTGAGAGAGGGGACACAAGCAGGGGCAGAGGGAGAGGGAGAAGCAGGCTCCCCGCGGAGCAGGGAGCCCAACACGGGGCCCGATCCCAGGACCCTGGGATCATGACCTGAGCCGAAGGCAGATGCTTCACCGACTGAGCCACCAGGGCACTCAAAATAAATAAAATCTTAAAAAAAAAAAAAAAAAAAAAAATTCCTGTCCTTTTCCCTGAAAAGCACCCATGAAATGATTGTTATGCATAACCATAGGAACACATTTCTTTTGGAACAAGAAGTTTGGGTATATTGGGGTGCTAAAGGGGAGGGACTAAATCTTCACGGGGCTGGCTAGGCATAGTGCCGAGTAAGTGCTTAAAACCTCACTACTTCACTGAGCGCCTCTGTCTCTACTTGAATTGTGTCTTTTTCTCCTTGAAGAGACCCACTGTGGGGACTCCCCCATTCCAGTGTGTCTGTTTCTATCTTTTTCCAGCAGGGCCCTTTTAAAAGGTCCCCCAGTGGAATGCCTTAGAGGTCCTTCCATTTACAAGACAAATAGAAACATGATTGATCTCCCTTATTCTTCAGTGATTTATTGCTTATTCACAGACATGAGCTGTGAGTCAGATTTCCTTTGGGCAGACTCAGAAGTGGATTTATGCATTTCCCTTTTGACTCCCCTCTTATCTCGGCTTCCAGATAAGTATGTATATTTTAGGCAAAGCCTTGTTTTGGAGAATGACTTGGTTTTCCTCCCCCAGGTGTGAGCGGGATCTGGAGCATGCCATTCCCCACTATGTCACCACATACTTGCCGCTGCTGCTGGTCTTTGTGGCCAACCCCATCCTGTTCCAAAAGACAGTGACTGCAGGTGAATAACAGGGAAGCTGTCTGGGTGCAGGACCATGGGGTATGGCTCCATGCCTTGGGCTCAGATGATGGCATGTGTCGTCCTTCTGGAATCATCCAGGACAGTTGACTTCATTTGTCATCCTCCAGAGACGTAAGCACAGTACACTTGGAGAAAGTGAGCAGGTTTAATAAATGAAGTGAGCAAGCCTCTTTAGTGATGGGCTACATGAGTTCTTTGCCAGCATTTAATAGCTCCAGGCCAGGACCGGTGGAGTTTATGTTTCCATCTGGGCTCATCGTGGGTCTGCCCTTGATGTGGCTTGCAGGCCCCAGCAGTGCCCCTGGAAAATTGTGGAGTGGGGGGGGCGGGGCAGGGAGAGAAGGGATGGAGTCTGGCCTGAAGAGTGGTGAGCCTGGCTCCTCCCATGATGTGCTTGGCCTCTGTCTTTTCTCAGTTGGGCAGGAAACAGGAAGTAGAGCACAGGAAATGAGTCAAATGCAATGGTAAGGACTAAGAAGGATGTTGTGAGCCAGCAGAAAGCACTGGAAAGACCTCTGCTGAGGCTGGGGACTTGGCATGCCAGTCCCCACCGCATCCTCAAGGAAGTGTGATAGGGAGCACCCTCCAACCTTCAGCCCCGTGGATCTCTCAAGTGCAGCATAGGAATGAAGAAGTGCGGGGTGCCTGGGTGGCTCAGTCTGTTAAGCATCCTGGGATCGAGCGTTGTGTCATCTTGGGGTCCTGGGATCCAGCCCTGTGTCATCAGGTTCCCTCCTCGGTGGGGAGTCTGCTTCTCCCTCTGCCCCTCCCCGCAGTGCGCGCACGTTTTCTTGTGTGCGCTCTCTCAGATAAATAAAATCTTGTAAAAAAGAAGCGCATCTTAACAGAAGGTTGATTGAGGATCAGCTGTTGATCACAGAACTTTAAAACATTAAAAGGACTCTTGTCACTAGGAATGGGAAATCATTGTGGCTCTTTGGATTCCCTTTTCGTCTGCATTTAAAAACAGTGTATTAAATACAGTAACTTTTTAAGTAGAATTGCGTAAAAGTGCTGAGTCAGTTACATCAAACAAATGAAAATCACATATATGGAAAGGACTGGAAAGAAATGCATTAAGATGTTCACAGTGCTGGTCTCAGGGTGGACAATGGCTCATTTTCCTCTAACCTTTTTTATATTTTCCAACTTGTCTATAAGGAGAAATTTTTAATCTTTCAGTGTTCCAAAACAGCAAGTGTGCATTTTTTTTTTTTAAAGATTTTATTTATTTATTTGAGAGGGAGAGAGAGAGCACAAGTAGGGGGAGCAGCAGAAGGAGAGGGAGGAGCAGGCTTCCCACTGAGCAGGGGGCCCGATGCGGGACTCGATCCCAGGACCCTGAGATCATGACCTGAGCTGAAGGCAGACGCTTCACCGACTGAGCCACCCAGGCACCCCAAGTGCGCATCATTTTTAAGACAGAAAATATAAACCTTTAAAAATGTCGTTCTTGAAAAAAAATACAGTTCTTGAACCCATCCAAATAAAATCTGGAGCTTAATTAATAGTAAAGCACTATTGCTAATCTTTTCCTGGTGACAAACGTGAGCCTGGGTGTGCGAGATGTTGACATTGACAGAATCTGGGTGTAGGTCCGCAGAAAACTCTCTGTGCTATCTTTGGAACTCTTACGTAAGTCTACAGTGATTTGAAAGTGTAAGTTGTAGGGGCGCCGGGGTGGCTCAGGTCATGATCTCAGGGTCCGGGGATCAAGCCCCACGTCGGACTCCCTGCTCAGCGGAGAGTCTGCTTGTGCTCACTCACGCTCTCTCTCTCAAATAAATAAGATTGAGAAGGAAAGAGAGGGTAAAGGTTTGAAAGACTCTGCATCCCCTTGAGCGTGTGAGAACCACAGCTTGGAAGCCGGGACGGAGGAATGGCAGTATCGGGCCCCACCTCGTGCTCTGCTGCCTTTGCTTAGGGGCTGACATCCTCGCTGACGCCCTTCCCTGTCACTCAGGAAGGGCAAATAGTGAACATTATATGCAGTTCCCCTGTGGTTTTTGTTTGTTTGTTTGTTTGTTTGTTTTTTGTTTTGCAGTGGCCTCTTTACTAAAAGGAAGACAAGGCATTTACACAGAGAACGAGAGACGGATGGGAGCCATGATCAAGATCCGATTTTTCAAAATAATGCTGGTTTTCATTATTTGGTAACCTTTCGTCTATATTTTTTTTTAATTGCCCCTGGGACGGGATATGCAATCAGCACATTTTTCTAAGCATGACCCAAAAGTTGCAAAGGGAAGAGTCTTTGGAAAGGAAATCTTTGACACTGTGCTGGGGCGCTCGGAGGAAATGCACGTGAGACAGGAAGGCAACTCCAGAACGTATGAGCTCCTGGAAAGATGCTCACATCTGCACAGAATATATGTAAAGCCCTTGGAACAAAAAATCCCGAGTTTAGTTTTGTTACATCCTAAAAGTGCATCCAGTGTTCACTCGCACTGCTAGGGCTAACTCCGAAATAAAGCGCTTGACCACGCTTTTAAAATTTACCGGTTTCTCTCAGTCTGGACCCCAGAATTCCTGTGTCTGACAAGAAACAAGGGCAAGGGTACATTTTTTGGTGTGATGACTCCGGTGCAGTCAAGAAGTGTAGAGAGCAATTTTTCGCTCCTCAGTTTGCCCCACCACCGGCATTCGGCCCCAGGTTTCAGGTGGATGCTTCAAAAATGGATCTGTAACCAATGCGAAACAGATGGAAATCAGAAAACCTTTTGCTAGGGTGAATCAATCGTTTGCAAAACAGGGTGTGTCTTTGTGCTGTTAATAATTTATCCGATAGGAGGAGGTTTGTTTGGACACTCTCCTAGGAGAGATGGAGACTGTCTCCGTCTAAAAATACACTCAGCTCATCATTTGAAATTTCATTGGCCTACCAACAATAACATTAAAAGTTTAAACAAAAGATAACGAGATTTTTGGGAGGTCTTCCTCAAAAAGTTACATTACTCTTCAAATGAAACACGGATTTTGGGTTATTTCATAGCCTGCTAGATCCCTTAACACTGATGTGGTGTTGAGTGTTACCCTTGGAAGGACTTGTTGATCTCTGCTTTAGACTTGAGAAAAGGAGTTACATCTCTTAAATTCTGGATGCACTAGTTCCTCCTTGCTGCTCATGGGGATCCCCCTCCAGGACTTGCGGGTGTTAGAAGACATATTCCCTGACCCCCAGCATTTGAAAGTGAATTGTATAACCCTGGGTTATTTTCTTTCTGACAGTTGGCTGCCGAACATCATCAATGAAAGCCTTTTATTCTATCTTGAAATGCAAGCAGATGTCAACGGGAGCTCTTTGAAACCTGTCAGAAATGCGGCTAAGACCATGTGGTTTATTATGGTAGGTCAGTCTTGGTTTTAAATTGTTTTTTCTTGAAAAATAAAAGTCAGAAGGACAAGAACCGCTCAGAAGTATGATGGATGAGTTTAACAGGTTCCTCGGGACCTCCATCTGGCATTGATCCGCTAGCTCACTAGTCCTGTTCATTGTTGGGATCATTAATTAAATGGGCACAACTCTGGTAAATCAGTTTGGCACAGTTTTATCAGACCTTTCGGGCAGACTCAAAAATATCAGGGAATTTAGCTTGAAGAAAAATTTCAGCCTGTGACAAAGCCATAGGGATGAAGGTACTCCTTGTAACCTGATCCATCATTAGAAAGCATTATAGGCGGGCGCCTGGGTGGCTCATTCGGTGAAGCGTCTGCCTTCGGCTCGGGTCACGAGCCCGGGGTCCTGGGATCGAGCCCCGCATCGGGCTTCCTGCTCAGCAGAGAGCCTGCTTCTCCCTCTCCCTCACCCCACCTGCTTGTGCTCTCTCTGTCAGATAAATAAATAAAATCTTAAAAAGAAACTAACATTATAGGCAACCCCAATTAAACAAATACAAGGGAATGGCTAAGTAAATTACATGTTTTCATCTCGACGGAATGGTATGCAGGTGTTAAATGTGACAGTTATGAGATCTCTAGTATTCAGTGAAAAGTGCAAGATATAAAAATCAGGCTAGTTACAGCTACAGAATGACGCGTGTGTGAAAAAACGTTGGATAGAAATACACAACATGGGAGTAAGGTGGAAACAGCATGAGTACATTCGCCCAAGGTTTCCACTGTATTGCATGCATAATGAAGAAACAAAACTGTTCGTGGAGAGGTACAGGTTGTCCTGTACAGAACTGATATTTATGTTGCTCCAGAATCGGGGAGAATCTGACTCGTGAGGACGTTAAATAATAAGACCAGTGTTCCCTGCCTCCACCCCTTTGCTTTGGAGTTTCACTTGGTTCCTTTGGTTCACTTCATGGGTACTTACCACACCAAGTGGAGGAATGTTCTCTAGACTCATTTTTGGCCTTGGGTACTTTCATTAAATCAAATTCTGACTCTCGAGCACAAGATGGAAAGCACCTCTCTGTCCGAGAGCCCGGCCACGCTGGCAGAGGCAACAGTAGGATTGGTTCCGTTGCCCTGTGTTGTGCACCTTCCCCTCCCCCCACCACTCCCTCCCCCGCCCCCTCCGTTTTTAGCCACCCTGGAAGGGGCGGCGCCTCAAGCCAGTCTTTGTCTTGCCCCACACCAGCCAAGCGGCTCACTTCCACACGAGGTGGCCCAGCGGGCGTGCGAGTGGACGTGGTGCTCTCATTCCCAGTCCGCGGCACTGACTGACCTGTGTCGTTTTCTCCTGCCTCCCAGGGGATACTGAATCCAGCCCAAGGATTTCTCTTGTCCTTGGCCTTCTACGGCTGGACGGGATGCAGCCTGCAGTTTCAGTCCCCCAGGAAGGAGATTCAGTGGGAGTCCGTGGCGAGTTCTGCGGAGCGGACCTGCCTGGCCCCGGAGGGCTCCCGCGCGCCCCGTGAGCATCCGACTTACAGGAAGGCGGCGCATGACAGCAGGCACACCTCCGACGAGGCGCTGAGCATGCTCTCTGAAGGTAAGCCCTGTCTGCCGAGGCAGGTACGTCGCGGAGCCCCAGGGCCAGCCTGGAAGTCCGGTATCAAAGAAGGAGGTGACGTGGTGTGGGAGAGGCGTCCGTCACTGCTGTCAGTGGAGGGTGAAAGCAGCCGACACTGATGCTAACCTGGCATGTTACCACCCGCCTCTCTCTCTAATATTTTAATGGCATCTGCCGCTCAGTTCCTCAGCACGGTAGCCTTGCGTACTTGTAAGTGGTCCCTGCCGTGGCTGGATGGCTTCATGAACAGGACATCGATTGTCACTCCACACCCCTCCCAGCCCCTTGCTGCAAGGCCATGGATGGCGTGACTGTCCTCTGTGGTTCTGGGTGCAGTTTGGTTTGCCCGGCTCACGCGGGGCCGTTGCAGGTGAAAAGCCAGTGCCCCAGGGCGGGCTCTTCGGATCTGTCCTTCTCACTTAACGACTCTAGTGCTGTGCCCTTCTAACTGCTCTGCAGACATCAAACCGGGTTCTCTGGAACCCGAGTGTGGTCCTTCAGACATCTAGGAAGTGATTCAATTCCAAGATGTACACGAAAATCTGTGGGAAGAGTTGTGCGTACTGAAATGTGTTGGTGACCAAATACTAACCCACCCAGGCCCGGCAACCTGTTAACTTGTCCAACCAGGTTAGCTCACGTGTGCGTGGAGCTCAGTGACATTCCCCTGCCCTCTTGGTTTAAGCGAGGGCTACCCAGAGCTGGGAAGATGAGCTCCTTAAAACTGTACATTTTCAGCTCCTTATGCCTGTGAAACTGAATTTCCTGGATAAGATGCGATGAAATCAAAACACAGGAAGCTTGCAGGTCCCTTGCAGACCTCAGTGTTTGGTTTTCAGAGTTTTGTGTTGACAAAAGCAGCCTTATCGTTCTAATTGATGACAGTCCAAATTGTAACTTACAAAACGACTTTTTGCTAATGTACCAGTCTTCTCCCTGTTGAGGTTCCTTGTAAAGCTTTGTTTTAGCCCAAATGTATCTTTTGATGAGGAGGAGTTTGAAAATCACCACTCTGAGTTCTGCAGAGCTTTAACTGACCTAATCATTTTTTTTTTTTTTAAGATTTTATTTACTTATTTGACAGAGAGAGACACAGCGAGAGAGGGAGCACAAGCAGGGGGAGTGGGAGAGGGAGAAGCAGGCCCCCCGCTGAGCAGGGAGCCCGACGTGGGGCTCGATCCCAGGACCCTGGGATCGTGACCTGAGCCGAAGGCAGACGCTCAACGACTGAGCCACCCAGGCGCCCCTGACCTAATCATTTGTAATCTACAAGCAGATTGATCCTTAGAAGAAGGTCTTTGGTAGCTATAATGTTACGGTAGCCACTGGTTGTTTAAAAAAAGAGCCAGAGGGTATGTTGAAGAAGGCCGACTGAGTGTGTTCTGGGACATAGAGGCTTCTTGACCTTTCCTGAGCTGACGCTGGGGCTGGCAGAGATGCACCAGCCTCCTCCGTCAACCTGTCACCCCATCTACTGTGTCTGTCTTCCGAGCGGGTCTCTCATTCTCAGCACCGTTGGCATCTAGGGCTGGGGGATTCTTTGTCCTGAGGACCGGCCTGGGCACTGGAGGATGCGGGGCAGCCTCCCTGGCCTCTGCCCACTCACTGCTAGTAGCGCCCATCCCGACAGTGACAATCAGCACTGTTTCCAGACATCAACAAATATCCCCTGAATGCACACTGACCCCCCAGTTCAGAACGAGTATCTCAGAATAACTAGGCTGTCCTAAAGCTCGGATCCAAAAATTTGCTTTCCGCAACGTGTTGTCTGAGCTAAGTGCGCGCGCGCGCGTGCACACACACACACACACACACTCACATGTGAAGTCAATGCAAACACCACACAATCCAGACAACTTTGTACGGAAATAGTGTTGAAATTTGAGAGAAGGAAGATAACACCGAGGCTATTTGGAAATGAGTTTGTTTCTTTCCATTCCTTCAATTCAGCTGCATCGGAGGAGGGTTTGTTTTCAGATGACCAGGTTGGTTTATTCTCGGGGCCAAAATATATAGTGATGAATTGATAGATTGGTTCTCTGAGATGAGTACTGTCTGGTTGTAATTGGAAGCCTCGAAGGAAAACAGTATTTCTGGCTCAAGCAAAAAGGCAGAGACCATGTGTTTATCGCCTTTCTCTCTGGTGCAAATCCTTCCGAGTGGAGTTGCTGTTAGCATGGGACCACCTGGGGAATGAGCCAAAAAATTTGATCTTGATCTAGTCAGTTTTGCTGGATTCCCATCCTGGTGTTTCAAAGTGGTCGAGCCCATCTTTGGAAGTCTAGTAAAACATGAGAAATGACCATAAAAACCATCCCGACGTGCCTGCAGCCCCAGTCACCACCAGGGAACAAGAGCAGTCAGTATCTCCCCTGCTTTCACTGGTCTGCACTGAAGGTCGGGAGTATTCACACGGAGCTTTTTCAGAAAGCAAACAGAGCCAGTAGAAACAGGGCATGGGTTCCTTCCGGCTGCTGTCTCGAAGCTTCCTTTCCTTCCCTCCTCCTCAGTGCAAGCCCTCAGCAAGGCTGACGGAGTAATTCGCACGTGACAGAGACTTTGTCTTTGAAATTTGAACTCCATTTGGTTAGTCAGTCTATATTTGGGGAAATAGTGCAATAAGGAAACATCTTAAAAATCTTGGTCTTTGGGGCGCCTGGGTGGCTCAGTCGGTGAAGCGACTGCCTTCGGCTCAGGTCATGATCCCGGAGTCCCGGGATCGAGTCCCGCATCGGGCTCCCTGCTCGGCGGGGAGTCTGCTTCTCCCTCTGACCCTCCCCCCCTCTCGTGCTCTCTCTGTGTCATTCTCTCTCTCAAATAAATAAATAAATAAAATCTTTAAAAAAAACAAAATCGTGGTGTTTGGATGGTTACACAAGCGCTGATGTTGGCGTTCCCTAGTGAAGTCCCTCAGACTTGTAGCTGCGGAGATTGGCCCTAGTCCCATGTTGCCTTTGCCTCCCTCCCGTGCTTGTGTTAAAAATTGAGATATAATTCACATACCATAAAATTCATCCTCTTAAAGTTACTTTAAACTTCATTGAGTTTTAATATATTCACAAAGTTGTGCAATTATCTAATTGCAGAACATCATCATCACTCCAAAAGCGAACCCTATGCCTATTTTCAATCTCTTCCCATTCCTCCCTCCCCTCAACCACTCATCTACTTTCTGTCTGCATGGATTTGCCTGTCCTGGACATTTCATCTAAATGGACAAATGCTTGTCCTTCTGTGTCTGGCTTCTTTCACTTAGCCTCGTGTTTTCGGGGTTCATCCACATCGTAGCTCGAGTCAGAACTTCGATCTTTTTATGGCTGAATAATACTCCCATTATATGGATAGAGCCGTACTTGGTTCTGGTAATAATGACCAGTGACCTCCCACAGCTCTGCCAGGCCTTATGCTGGGAGCCGTGTTGGGGGAGGGGACCAGAGGGGCAAACCTGGCCCCCAAGGACCTCACAGTGTCTTGGACAAAATAAAAAAGCTACGGATAGGGCCACCTGGGCGGCTCAGTCGGTTGAGCACCCGGCTCTTGATTTCTGCTCGGGTCGCGACCTCAGGGTCGTGGATCATGGGTCAAGTCCCGCATACGGCCCTTGGCTGAGCAGGGAGCCTGCTTGGGATTCTTTCTTTCCCTGTCCCGGTGCCCCTCCCTGCTTGCGCTCTGTGTCTCTAAGCGAAAGAAGAAAAGCCGGGAATAGAATAAGCAATGGAAACGCCAGCTTGAGAAGAATTTGGAGGAAAAAGAAAGCATATGAGGAACGCTTTTTGAGAAAAACAAGGAATGCAGTTGGTATTTTTGATTGTGGAAAGAATATGGGTAAAAATCGGGGCTGTTGATTTAAAGCCGCAGTAATACGTGCTGTTAACGTCTGTTGGGTCAGGCTTTCTGACGGATTTTGAAAAACAGAGTAACTCTGCAAAAGTTAACCACCGATGTTGGCAAAAGTATATGGTAGGGGTGAAACGGAAGGGGCGAGTAGAGTCTTCGGTTTGTAGCTGCTCACGCTGGGAATGTTTTATCATTGTTCCTGAGATACAGTCTAGTATTTTGTATAGTCAACCTGTGCAGGACTTTGCTAAAAAGAATGAAGAGGACTTTTATTCAGAAATTAAAACATTTAAATGTTTTGCGGCCTAGGACGCTTCAGCACGTTTCTGAAGATCTCCACATCAGGCTTTGGCTGTCTGTCGCTACCATGGCCCTCCGGGGACAATTTCAGGATTCTCTCTAACTCTTCCCTGGTCAGGGTGTCTCGAGGGCCATTCACTTGGTCTTTCTGGAGGCTTTGCCAGCTCACAGAATGTTCCACTTCCCCGCCTGTCAGTGGGCGTGGGCCAGCTGGTGGAGGGCTGGCTGGCTGGGTCCGTGGGACGATGTCATCAGCACCTGTCCTCCCCTCCGCCACCCACCCAACCCCTCACTGAATACAGCTGTGTCTCAGTAAGTTGCATGCACCGATGATGCCACCTCGGTGCGTAAAGTCAGGGGAAAGACCTTTAAAGAACGGTTTCCTTACTGATGGAGCTTGAGCACTGGTACCTGAGCAGGTGTAGAGAAAACTCGGTACACGTACAAACTCAGTGCACACATGATTCTTTTTTAAATTTATACGTGTGAACACTAAAAGTAATGACTCCGGTGTATTAAACAGTGAGTGCTGAATATTGTCTCCAGTGAACTAGCTCCAAAGCTGCTTCGAGAGTTCTCAGTCTGGACGCTTCAATGCATATATTGGAATAGAACGTAGAGTTTACTTTTAACCTTTCGCTGTGCAGCTGCAAACAAAGACCTGAATCTTTGGTCTTCGTTTCTTTTCTTCTTTTTTAAAACTCCAGTACAGTTAATGTACGGTGTTCCCTCATTTTCACAGGTACAAGATAGTGATTCAACAATTCCATACATTACTCAGTGCTCATCATGATAAGTGTACGCTTCATCCCCATCACGTGTTCCCCCCCATCACCCCGCCC